ATTTCTAAGTTTCCCCTTCCCCCCACTTCAAAATGGTATCACTTTACTTTACACTTTGTGTAGATTTAAGCCTTCTTTGTATGTCTCCAGGAGGCATTCAGCTGTTTTTCAATTTTAATAATATATCTTACTGAATGCAATATATTCAAAATATTGTTTGAACATGCAATCACTGGTAAAATATCACCAGCCTGGTTCGGTGGCACACGCCTTCGTTCCTAGCTACTACAAGGTGGGAGCAGGAGGACTGAGGCCAGGGCCAGCCTGGGGAACTGAGAGAGACTCCAACTCAAACTATAGGGAACAGGACATGCACATTCCCTTGTTTACACCACAGCTTCAGATGGCGAGTCTCAACTTGGCCCAGCCATATTTCCTGTGCTCAGAAGCACCTGTGGCCAGAGACCGCTGCACCAGAAAGCAAAACTCTAGAACCTCACTTCTTTTTTTTTTTCATTTATTATTTGATTATTGGGGCTTTTAAAAAAAAATCATAGCCAGCTTTTCTTCCTGAATTTTTAAAATTGAGATAAAATTCACATACCATAAAATCAACCATTTTAAAGTATATAATTCAGTGGTACTTAATACATTCATAATGGGCAACCATTACTTCTAATTCCAAAATGTTTTCATCACCCCAAAAGAAATCCTCTAACTGTGGAACACAGTCCTTGTGCAGCTCCGTGTGTGCAGAAGTGTGCACCATGGAAAGACCACAGCTGAGTCTAAACTTGAAGTGCCAGTGAGGACAGAGCAGGAGAGGTCCACACAGTAAGACTTAAGAAAACAAGCGTTCAGAGGTGAGAAGATGGAGTAGATGAAGTCTGGGAAATAAAAGCCACAAGAGCTTTCAGAAGAAAGGACTGGTCCCCAGGTTGGCCAACACGGAAAGGTCACATAAAGGGCATCCCCAGAGGAATGGGGGGCTCCGGAAGTGTGCTGAGGGCAGGGCGGAAAGGCTTCCCATGCCGAGAGCTCACACAGGCACACAACTCGATGAAATGCTTCTGGGAGCAAACCCCACGCCTCCGGAGCAAGAGCCAACACCTTGTGATGAGCGATTTTTAAAAAGGAGAGAAAGACCAAGTGGGAGAGAAATAAAATAAGTAAATGCAGCAAGAATAAAAGAAGTGAAGAGAAATAAAACAAGAGAGAACAAAACCTTTTGTGCGGAGAGGACGGGAGCGAAGCTTCTGCCACTGAGTTACTCTACAGAAAGAGGACCACCATCTGGGTGGTCTGCTTGGAGGCGGATCTCTCTCTCACACAGGACCCCTCTGAGCTACTGGACCATGGGTGAGAAAAACACAAACTCCCAAGTGGCCTTCAGTCCTAAAAGCAGAGCCAATTTGCATTTACTCAAAAGCAGGTAAGAAGGAATCAGGGCAAGGGTGTAAGCACTCTAAATAGGTGTTTCCATCACAGCCTTTATTTTCAATGGAACCATATAAAGAATCAGAAATCTTTAGGGTTAAAATGAAGGGTATTCAGCCAGGCATGGTGGTGAATGCCTGTAATCCCAGCACTCAGGAGAGACCTCTGAGGCAGGAGGATCACAAGTTCAAGCCCAGCCTAGGCAATTCAGTGAGTTAGTGAGACCTGTCTCAAAATAAAAAATTTGAAAAAGAGCCATGGGTACAGCTGAGTGGAAAGGTCCTGGATTCAATCTCTAGTACCACAAAAAGACAGGCAGAGAGAGAGAACTCTTCAGAGCCAGCCCTTGTTCTGCAAGGGGACATAGTGTAGGGGCCAGGGCTGGCCAAGCTCAGAGACAATCAGTCACCGGGCACCGCCATCAAACTCCTTCCACCACCCAAAGCTGACTCTCAACTCCAATGAGCCCACCACATTTGGAACCCAACTTGCCCTTCAGAAGGCATCTAAAAGTGGTAAACTGTATCATGTACTGTACACCTACATACCATACCATGGTTTAAATTTGGCTTTCTTGGGCTGGGGATTTAGCAGAGTGGTGCCGTGCCTGCCTCACAAGTGCAAGGTCCTGAGTTCGATCCCTGGTACTGAAAAAAAATAAACTTGGCTTTCTTTTGTGAAATATACTAGAAGAGGGAAGAAAAGGAGATGAAGAGGGTAAAGGAGAAGATGAAGGGAAAGAAAAGAGGAAAAAGGAGAAAAATGAAATCAGTATCCACAGGTAACTTCCTCTTTCTCTCTTCATATATGAATGAGCTCTCCTTTGAAAGGAAGGATTGTTAGAGCCAGTCTCTTTTCTACCCTCTGTCCCAGAGACAGCCACTAGACACAGTCTTCAAGTCCTTTTCTGTATATTTACATGAATACATATGCATATCTGTTAGCTATTGTAACATTACCATTCCACAGCTTCCTTTCCCCTTTCAACAATATGCTTTGCAAACCTTTTCATCTTAGTGAATACAGCTCCCTTGCTGTAAGTGCTGCAAAGAGCAGCAGTGCATTCAGCCAGCTTTTAGGTGAGGGAGCGCCAGTTTACGGTCCTACCTACAATGCTGGGAAATATGCTTCATTTTAACTTTTACCCCCATACATATCTTTATTGCCTGAGATCCTTTCAACTTCCCTTGTTTCAGTTAAGTACAACTATCTCCTGCCAAGCTGTCCTCTGGATAGCACTATCAATTTATAGTACCACCAGTAATACAGGGGTGTACACAAGAATCCCCTCCCCTTTATTGTGGTACTGGGGATTGAACCCAGGGCCTCATGCTTGCTAGGCAAGTGCTCTACCACTGACCTACAGCCCCAACCCCACTCCCCTGTTTGTAGCCCCCCCCTCAGGAATCAACTCAGGACCTTGCAGGTGCAGCACCCCTAAGCTAAATCCCCAGCCCTCCCCACACCCTTTTTAAGAGACAGTCTCACTTTGCTACCCAGGCCAGTTTCAAACTTGTATTCGTTCTGCCTCAGCCTCTAAGTAGCTGGGGTTTTAGACATGTCCCACCATATCCAGCCACATCAATTGCCTTTAAATGTATTTATATACTAGTTGCAAAGGCATGAAGTCATCTATTACAACTGCAGTAATATTATGATACGTCAACGTTCTTTTAAATGCATGTATTAGAAGCACCATTTAGCCACACTATGTTGACACATGCTCCCAAACACTGAAATCTCACTGTTCTTTCTGTGCAGCCCACCTAAACAGGCCTGCCAACTCCACCATCCCTCCTAGAAACACCAGTCGTAGAAGGAAAAGCTCCAGTTAAAGGGAGACTCTCCTTAAGACAAAAAGAGGAAGAAATAACAGAAAAGCAGATGGGCTCCAATCTCTACTAAGAAACGAACTTTCTTCAAAACTGTGGGGATCGCTGAAGCTGTACAACAGTTCAGTGTGGGGGGAGGGGGCGGTTACAGCTCTTGTTGGATTCTCCTCTGCAGAATTTATGTCCAGACATTTTTTTTAATTAAAAGGAAACCACAATTTCAAAATGTGTTAATATTTCCTTTTAAGCTTCCTCATTCTATGGGTTCCTACGTAACATATGCTCCAAAGTAATCTTCAGAACACACTGTGGTCTCACCCTGATGCGCCTGAAAGCACACTTCTCGGACAGACAACCCAGGCGGGAAACTTCCCGCAACAGGTTTACGCATAGTTCCAGACTCAGCCTGGCAGAGCAGAGGGCGAGTCTCAGCGGTGTCTCCATCCCTAAGTCTGTACTCTATTCTCCACTCCCAGCTCTGGATGAACCGCTGGCTTTGCATGGGACTGAGGGTTCCCAGGTCATGGCACTTTCAGTATTAAATCAGGAAAGTCTCGAATAAAACCCTAGGACAGCTCTGGTCACCCTACTAAACCTTTGCAAAAAGCCCCGCTTACCCACACAGCACATAGCAAGAGCAAGCCGAGTACAACACTTGCAGGAGCTCATGCCCACCACTGCCTGGGCCTCACACCAGGCACCTGGTCCACAGCTGGGTCCTGTGACAGCCACGCAGTGAGAGCTCAGACGGCGGGCAGCTAAGTGCGCCGTAGGATGGGCCCTGAGAGAAGCAGGGTGCTGGCGAGGGCAGCCCTGCCTTGGCGAGAAGAGGAGACATGGACCGGAGCCCGAAGGAGGACCTAACAGCGCCCTCAGAGCCTCGTTCTGCCAGGGCTGGCGGTGCACAACTGAGTCCCGGCACTCTGGGAGGCCGAGGCCAGGAACCGCCCTGGCAATTTTACAAGATCCTGTCTCAAAATAATAAGTAAACAAAATAAAATAAATAGGAGCAGCAGGGGATTTAGCTCAGTGGTTCCAGTGCCTGCCTTGCAAGCACAAGGTCCCGAGTTCGATGCCTGGTACCCCATAAAAGGAGGAAAACCAAGGGGAAAATCTTAAATAACAGCCTCAACTTCATAATGACTCAAACCAGGGGTTCCTGTGTTCTGTACTTGGAAAATGAAAAGATAAGCCACAGAAATGACCGTGGGAAGCCTTGGCTGGTCCTGCGTGGGCACAGAAAAGGAGGCTCCCTTTCCCAGGGCCTCTTCCTCCACTGGGGCGGGGAACCGGGGTCCTGCAGGGGGACTTCTGCTTCGCACACCAAAGGTCTCCACAGGACAGGCCATTACCCCAAACTTCTCTCCCAGACTGAAGAATCGGAAAGAGCAAGCAAGGTTCGAGGCAGCTGAGCTGAGCCAAGCAAGACTGGGCAGCAGAACCAAGAGAAAAGAACTTGTGGAGATTGACCCGACTCGGATAGAAACAGTGCAACCCCCTCGGAGCGGGCCGCCGCGGGGCTCCGGGCCAAAGCGCAAACGCGACCCAAGCGAGGATGTCCGGGCGGAGGGTCCTCCCGAGTGCCCGGGCCCCGATCACCGCCCGGCTGGCTGAACCGGCTGGTGAGACTCCCGGCCGGGCCGTGGGACGAACGAGACCACAGGGCAGTGGGAGGAAATGACAGAGGAGAAGGACGGTCGGGGCTCCGGGAGGGCGCGGGCGGGCACGCGAGGACCCGTCCAGCCCTGGTGACCGCCCACCGGACCGGACCCGGCCCGACCCGGCCCGCACCGTGTTGTAGAACTCGGCGATGGCGGGTACGATGCTGTAGTTGTCCTCGCACCAGTCCACCTCCGAGCTGCCTGCCCGAAGCTGGTCCCACCAGTGCGGGGAGCCCATGGCGGCTCCGGGACACCGGAGAAGGCGCTCCCGGAGAGAAGAACCCAACACCGCGCGGGAACAACTGCGAGTCCCAGCTTTCCGCGGCGGGAGGCGGGCACTGTGCCTCCCCGGCCTCCCACTCAGCTCCGCCCGCCCGACGCCACGGGCCAGACCCCGCCCTCGCAGACATCTGTCACGCCCACCGGGAAGCGTCGGTAACGCCCACCAGGGAGGAAGCCCTCGGCCACGCCCCCGGGACCCATCGCCCACGCCCACGCGGGGGTCCAGGGCGAGGCACCGAAGCGCTCGCAGAGGCGCGGGCTGGTCCTAGCCGCGGTTCTGCCCACTCGCACTTCCTTTCGCGTCTACGTAGTGCAGCCCTCGCTGACGAAAACTATACTAAAAGGAAACCCAGCAGGGAACCTGAGAGACCCGAGGGAGCCTGCGCAGACCCGGCTCCGACGTGAATGGTTCGCTCGCTCTCCTGAGGCCGGCGGGGCCTGCGCGGCCCCCGCCGCGGTCGCTGGGAGACAGTCTTCCAGGCTCAGGACGGCTCTGCGGCCCTCCTGCGGCCGGGCCACCAGGACCACTTTCCACGGGCTCCAGCCCTCCCTCTCCGCGCAGGACTTCAGCCACCCCAGACCACACAAAGGCTTTGGTGTAGCAGGTGTGACCTCCCCAGCACCCAAGTGCCAAAGACAGGGACGCCTCGGGAGCGCCCAAGTGCGCCAGGCACCATCTGAGGAGCTCCACATGCACACGGGTACCCATGCGAGCCAGCAAGTGTCAGGGAAGAAACAAACTCAGATGGATGACCCCGGACCTGCCGGTGACTGCTCTGCTTCTGTATTTTATAGTTCTAAATAAAAGCCAACCAGTTCCCAGGATCCCCGAAGAAAGCTACTTTTCTTTTCCTTTGTGGCAACCCCTGGCCTCCTTCCCTGTGTTTTGGTGGGGGGGGGGCGGTCTAGGTAAGGACAGGGCAGGAGACGGGCAGCACTCCGTGGCGGTGGTCATTCGAGGTCCTTGATTATTCTGCATAATACCTTACAGGCTGAGGGCCCGCGGGACCCTACCAAACCTCCACTAAGACCTCAGGCCAAAAAGACTGAGCTCCGCTGTTGAAAGATATTCCCAATTAAACTGTTGGTAATGCTTTCATCAATTCTAATTTTGAAATATTTATTGAATAAACATTTTAGTCATACATTGGTTATACACCATTCTTGTGCACATACAAAAATACAAGCAAAAGTACCTTAAGGGATTCTTATAATTTCCTCACATTCATTATTTCTGAATAATTTCTCAATTTAGTCATTGAGGTCTGTGTTCTTTCATACAGAAGTGTCCTCCATGTCCTTTGTTACTACATCTTGAAAATGCAGTGTTTCTTAAGGAGAGTCCACTGCTCTTTGCTTGCAAGCTACTGCACCTATTCCACAAACTTTGATGTGGGACTTTCATTCTTTTTTTTTTTTGGTACCAGGGATCGAACTCGGGACCTTGCACTTGCGAGGCAGGCTGCGGAACCCCTGAGCTAAATTCCCAGCCCCAATGTGGGACCTTCTTGATCTTACCTGAAGGTGGCAATGGAAAAGGTTTTTTTGTTTGTTTTTGTTTTTTATTTTTTCTTGATGACTTTGCTTTTATTTGCATAACTTTCCCCCCCACACATTTATTTTATTATTTACTTCACATTATGGTCTCAAGGTGCACCCATTTTCCTACAAATGACTCAAGTTTATTCTTTTTATGGCAGAGTAGTATTCCATGGTGTATAAATACATTTTTTTTGGTACCAGGGATCAAACTCAGGACCTTGCCCTTGCAAGGTGGCAGTGGCACCACTGAGCTAAATCCCCAGCCCCATAAATACATTTTTTAATCCATTCATTGGGTGGTAGACATATAGGCTGTTTCCAAGACTTAGCTATTATGAATTGCGATGCTATAAACATGGGTATCCATACATTACGGTGGTATGATGTCTTTAACTCTTTTGGGGAAGATACCTACATGGTATCTTCTGGGTCAAATGGAATTTCTACTTCTAGTTTTTTGAGGAATCTCCATAATGATTTAGTGGTTGTATCAGCTTACAGTCCCACCAACAGTGGAGGGTTCTTTTTTCCCCATAATCTCACCAGCACATTATTGGTTGATTTCTTGATGGTAGCCATTTTTTCTGGAGTGAGATAAAATCTCAGTGTTGTTTTGCTTTTCTCAAATGGCCAGCAATGTTGAATATTTTTTCATGTATTTGTTGGCCATTTGTATTTCTTCATCTGAGAAATGTCTATTCATTTCAGATGCCCTTTTTAAATTGGGTCTTTAAATTTGGAGGGTCCAATATTTTTCAGTTCTTTTTTTTTTTTTTTTTTTTTGGTACCGGGGATCAAACTTGGGACCTTGCGCTTTCGAGGCAGGCACCGGAACCACTGAGCTAAATCCCCGGCCCATTTTCAGTTCTTTATATATTCTAGATATTAGTCCTTTGAGGAGTAGCTGGCAAAATTTTTTTCCCAATCTGTAGGTTTTTTCTTCATTTTATTAGTGGTTTCCTTTGCTGTGCAGTCAGTGGAAAGTTTTTAGACAACAGGCAACATGTGTCTTTTCCAGGTGGCCTTCCCTAAGTTCATGAAACATGGAGATTACAGTAACTGAATCAACCATGGAAAATTACCCCTGGGTCTGTGCTTGTGCAAGCTGTGACACTCACATGACAACCACCACCTGGCCAACTGACCATAAAACCCTCCCTATTTAAAATATATCAGTATTCTCGAGGTTACTATGCAAAACAATGTGAGTTTCAGTGCCAGTGAAATAGGAATTTTACTGAAAGTAACTCATCCTTCTCCCCCAAGTCTCACTAAGGGAATGATGGATTTTATCCACAGGATATTCTATCATTAGTAATGATTCTGGTTCAAAACAAGAGTCCTCTACTGGGAGGAGGGAGGTCCCCTCCAGCCCCCTTAGTTATTATGTGGGCTCTTTGGCAGGATCTAGGAACCCAAATAATACAAGAGCTGACTGACAAGAGAGAAGCATAAATGATTATTAATTTCATACGTACATGTACATGGTACTTTTCACAGGAGAGTGAAGTCTGAAGAAATGACCAAACCATGGTACCTTTATGCTTATCACATTAAGAATAACTTTATGAGGGAATGAAAAGCCAAGTGTACTCTGGACTAGGATAGTAAATTTTAGGGATGTTTTTAGGCTGGGAGGGGGATGTAGAAGCTGGTGCAAGATACGGGTTACTGAAGAGTTTGTTTATTCAGATTCTTTTAAGGCCCAAGTTACCAATCTCAAGGATCAAGGGTATTTTTCAATTAAGGCAAATAAAATATATTCTTCCCAAAAGAAACTTTCTTTTTTTTTTTATTGTGCTGAGTATCAAATCCACAGCCTTGTACATGAGTGGCAGTCACTCCACTACTGAGCCCTGCCCCACCCTGCCATCCCCTGAAGAATCTTTATGGCTTTCTAGATGCAGTGCAAGTCAGGCTATGTGGTCCTTTCTGAAGTTGCAGTTCTTCAGGAGATTTCAGCTCAAAATAATCAATATACCAATCCAGCAGGTTCCACCTTAGCTCCTTCACCGACTTCATTCCTTCTTAATATGGCTGCAGAGAGAGTGCTGAGCCACAAGGCTACTGGTGAATGGCAGAGAGGACAAAAGCTAGATTCTTCCAAAGACACCAGTTTTGGTCTTCCTGTTGCTATGGTAAAAAATTTTCTGACATGAAAATTTTTTCAACAACCACAACCTTATTAACATTATAGTCTATCATTAGATAGTTTTTTAATCATCAATGTATATTAATAGTATGGTGCCTTAGGAACCACTCTCGAGATTTTGATATCCAGTATAAATAGAGCTTGTTCCAGGTGGGGGTGTGGTGACAGGAAGACAGCTCAAGGCACAAGGCTAATTCCTGATGGTGAGTTTATTTGTGTTGCCCTTGGTCTAAATATGAGTCACTGATACAGATCCATGAGACAGCAGGTTTTGGAGAACAGCCCTTGCAAGAAAGTCAGAACGGCCATATCTTATGTTTTTACAGAGTGGGTAACGTGTTTGGTCTGTGAAATTTCTGATGGAAAATACCCAGGTCCTCTGGTTCCACAAGTAGAAATTATCAAGTCACAAAATCTTCATTGGATAAGAGTTTTTCAGGCACCTGAGTAAATGAAGCAAGCAGTGCTTGATGGAGGATGACATTTCCTATATTTTCCTGTTCACCAGGGCTTTCACTCTGGTCTTCCCTGAGGTCCACTGTTCAAGACAGTGATTCTCCAGGTCAGCCAGCTGCCAAAAATCAGCTGGGACTTCAGAAATGCAAATCATCGGGGCCCTCCCTGGACCCATTGAATCACAAACCAGGGTGGAATCCTGCAGTCCAGCTGAGCAGAGATTAGTGATTTTGACTCGTGCTCAAGTTTGAGAGCCAGTGTGTGAAAAGACATAGTCTCATGGTGGACTGCACACTTGGCTTCCCCCAAAGTCCAAAGCCAAGACTGTTGCTCCAGGCTCCACAGAAACGGTCACTCTGCCTCGGTCTTGTCTCTAGGAAAACGGAGCTCATAGTCAGCCCCCAGCCCTTCAGCTAGCAGAAACGAGATGCCAACAAGGATGTGTTTGGCTTTTTGTTTGTTTGTTTTGAATTTGAAACTCCAGGCTTGAAATAGCAGGAGAGGACTGGGAGTATGGCTCCGTGGTGAACACGTGCTCAGCATGCCAAAGACCCTGGGTTCAATCCCCAGTCCCAAAAGGAAAAAAAAAGAAATTGAGGGTGAGAGCTGTGGGGATGAGTCCTTGTCAGGGAAACACACCTCAGCCACTGTGAGAAGGTGCCAAGTCTTCTGGGTCAGGTGCCCTCTGTTCATTTCCTGACAGCCCCACAGTGGCCACTTTCTGCCCACAAGTGCCCCTCTCTGTAATCTGCATGGGAAACCAGGGTTCAGACTGGGTGTGGAACGGTGAGTGGATTTTGATTGTCAAGCTGAAGCTTTGCCTGTGCCTGAGGGCCTAAGGTTTGTCATGGTGAGTTTGGTCTGCCCCATCTGGGTAGATCAGATAAGACATTGCTTTAACTGTACTGTAGTTTGCGAGGCAGGCGTGGTGCTACTGAGCTAAACCCCCAACCCCGTACTGTAGTTTGCAAAGATACAACAAACAATTTTTGAGCATCTGTTTTGTGCAATGTTCCATATTAAATGCTGAATAATATAAAGACCAATAAAATATTTTTCTTAGCTGCA